ACAGAGTTGAGGGACACCTTCGCTGCATCAAAGTGTAAGTGCTCTTATCTCTCCATCGTTTCTTCCTTTGACTCCTCACTACCTGCCTCCCGTCTCAAAAACTAAAAAAACCTGGAGTGTGCTATCCTTGCACAGGTGGCCTAGGGTATGCTTCTCATCACATTGGAAGCATAATTCATTTGCTCACTTGCCCTACACCTCTTCCTCTATGATGTTCTTGAAGTTAAACCCATAATGGGCTCCCGTATTCCTTTCCTTTGGTGCCACCATCTGAAATGACACCGTCTGGGTTCTCAGTGTTATGATCCTCAAGGTACTCTTATGAAATTCTCCTGTGATGCCACTTTTGCAGGTTTTCTTCATCTGGTTCTTATCTTCCATCATCTGGGTTCCATCATTTCCCTCAATCCCTTCAGTATCAATAGTCTGAGTGTTGTTCGTATATCAAGCGTCTCGATAATAGCTCAAGTCTCTCTCTATATTCTATGATAGTCTCCTCCTGAGTCAAGACATAAAATTTCTCCTGTAGGTCTCCTGCCTGAATGACTCGAAAACATTCCAATAAGCAATCCTTAAATTTCCTCTATTAACAGATCAGATATCTAGCATCCCTCTACTGAAACAATGCTAGAGTTTTTCCCTCCAAACATAATCATGCCTTCATGAGCTTCTCCTCCCCATTAGCCCATTCACCATGAAGTATTGCCCTATTTGATACACCCACCCATGTTCAACTTCCTAAACCTAGCATCACCACCCAAACTTCTTCTCTCTCCAGCATTTCCCCTCATGTATCTAAAATAAAACTCCCTCCTTTGATCATAGCCACACCTCATTCCAATTTTTCTAATTTCCTCTTCGTGCTACTGCCAACCTCTTATACAACCCTCCTCCATGTTTCAACCCAACCCCCTCCATCTGAAATCTTTAATCCACCCCTCATCAAAGTTCTAGGGGGGAGTTCTTTATAGTGGATGTTTTCCTCCTCATGTTCCTCGTATACTATCTCTTTTCCTTTTGATCTGGCCATAGATTCTTCAGTCAACCCTCAATTGGGATTTGCGTATTGAGACACCGACGGGTCTTGGATTGCATCTCAATAAACTTCCTTATCATCTTCTTCAAGTTCTCTAATCGGTTTTTAATAGAAGAAAACCTTTCCTCTATCCCGAATTTAAGTTGCCCTATGTCTCCTTCCAAACTCTCTTCTGAAGTATCAACTTTCCTTGATGTCATTTCTTCAAAATCATGCTCTGATACAAATTAGATGTGAACCGGAGCCAAAATCAGTGAACAAATTGCCAGAATTAGGTGGTAAGAAACCCAAATTAGGGCTAATCGATTAATACTAAAGCAAATGAGCAACATGCCAGGGTAATCCACAATTCAAGAAGTAGATCGTCTCTTCACAAACCCTAGATGTTGCTAGGAACAAGACTACAAAAGAAAAAGCTGTAGAAAACAAAACATAAAACAAACCTTAGCTACTTAACTCTCATATATACCCCTTAAGACTCCTTCAAACTTTCCCCCAAAACCCCTCTTACTTTCCCTCCTAGTATACGTGATTAGAGATTGATCGGGCCCCACAAGGGAGTTAAAATCGTCTCTCTTTCAGCTGGGCCGGCTGGTTTGCCTGGACCAGTATGTCAGGTTGGGCGGCTTCGGTCCAAGTCGGTCTCTCCTGGACTAACGTAACAGCAGGCGTATCAAATTCTCATGAGATTAGATGACAAAAATTAATGAAGGTGGGGATAAGTATCTTTCATATCATTTGAAAACAATGGGGAAGTAAAACTAAAAGCAAAAGTGGATCAACTTCTCTCCCTCAAATACAATGGGATGGTTGTAACAAAAAACTTAAAATTGGAAAATAAGATAAAAATAATATGGGTGATCAATATTCTCTGCAAACCAATTTATTAGAGCGATGTCCAAACCAACCTGATTTACATTTGATAGGATTTTATCAAACTGTGGAATCGTTTTAAACCCAAACATGGCGGACAAATCGATTCAGCTATAAAGAGGGTAAAAAAGATTTTGGATGCAAGTAAAATGTGTACAACGACATAAAAAACTGCTAGATTGCAAATAAATAAACCAGATATTATTCAAGAGTTTGAAACATAGCACTAAACAAGACTATAACATCGCTCCCACCAAAACAAACACTCTTCCTTTTGTTATTCAGATAAAATCAAACTTAGAAGTTTGGTACAAAATTTAGCTTTTTGGATGAACTCCTAGTAATGCATTGAAAATAGGAACCACCATGTGTGCGTGTGCGTGTGTGTGTGTGTTTAATGTCCTATTATTGCGTTGATCACTAGAATATGAAAAAAGATAAGTTTCCACTAAGAATTAAGCGAATTAAGAGGTTAGTACAAAGCAGGGAGAAAGATAAATAGAAAAATAAGAGCAAAATTCTGATTGTGGCCCACTTCCTCTATGTGGTGCAAGCACAATAGCAAACAAAAAATGTTGTGAAGATTTCATAAAAAATGCAAGAAGAACACCTTCTAAGGAACATTGAAGTGGAGAGCTTATGGTATTAGTATTTTTTATTTTTTTGGGAAAATTACATGCACAACACACAATTCTTATGGATTTACGTATCTCACACCTAAAGTTTCATTTTTACACATATAACACTTTACATATGGATGAAAAGATGGATTTGACTATTAAAAGGAGATAATGAGTGCTATTTTTCATATGGTGTTTGTAAATATGAAATTTTTGGTTTGAGATGGGTAAATCCAAAAGAATTGGGCGCAATGTGCCCTTTTTTTTCTATCATCTCTCTTCTGTTTGATTTTAGAAATTTAGAAATTCCCTTCTATGGTGAGATTTCGTGTCCTTAAATTTGAAAATGACTATCTCCTCATGCTCTTCTCTATGATGGATCAGATCCTTTATATCTTCTCTTGAAGATGTAGACTTGCTTGGGAAAAACATATAAATTTTAGTGTTTTCTTATGTTGTTTGGTCTCTTTAATATTGCTTTCTATGTTTAATGTACTAATCCTAGTAGGCACTTCCACCTACAAAAATATGTTTATCCAAATATATGTAGAACTAATAGTAAGGCACAAAAGGTAATGCCACAGTATGGTACTAAGCTCCAACATAGGTTGTGAAATCATTAAGTTATTATAAAAAACTTCGGAGGTATCTCATTTATAATAGTGAATATAATTTCCCCAGTAAGGTTTTCTAATAGAAGACAGTCCATAAAGATTGACATGTTGAGGTCACTCAATATAAAAGCGTAAATAAAATTTCCTATTCACAACAACATATAAAGCTTAAAAATAAAAATAAAAAAAGTTAAAATTAAATAGAATAAAAGAGTAGTTATCAATTTGCCTAAATGAGGATTGACAATTTGTCTTTATATGATAAAGTGACAACATTTTTATGATGGCCAAAATCAAATTAATAAAGAGATGATGAAATTTCTGCTATCCAACAGCCCATAATCTTGTCATGATCATCTAATCGTCCAAAGTAGATTTCTACTAAAATTAAACTCTAAACATGAGTATCAATATAAACCTATGCACATGTGAATATCCCAAACATGATTCCCAAATATTTCGATATAGCCACCTTAAGCTCCTAGTTAGCATTTCGAAAAGAATATCAAGCGAAAATTTAAATTGTCAGATTATCAACTTAAGAAGAAATATAATGCATCACAAATGGTTGACTAGAACTTCATGCCAGTTCCAAAAACAAAACAGTAACCCAAAGCATTTATTAGTTCAAAAAAAAGAAAACTTAGAGAAATAACAATCGTGGCAAACAAATGTTCAAGTTGCCTTGTTCAGGCTTTCAAGAAAGAAATAGAAAATCACATGGTTTCTGAAGTGCAAGAGAGAAACAGTTGGCTAAAAGCCCACTGAGCAATTATTCAACATGCCAATTACTGGCTTAAAAAAAATTTGTGGAAACTTAAAACTGGTATGAAGTTAGGGATCGTTTGCTATTTGGATAAATCTACTTTGGGGACTTTAAAACTTATTATTTGGATAAATCTCGTTCCATACTAGTTAATATTTGAAACAGGATTAGTTGAGTTTAACAATTAAAAAAAAAACTGATCTACAGATATCTTCATCTCACAAATCTTAAATCTTGCATAATTGGCAAGCATTTTATCAGGATTTAACAAAAATTAACAGTTATCATGAAAAACAATTTTCAGGTTTAATCCTCTCAAGTAGGGCTGTTAACGATCCGATTTCGAACCGAGTTGGGGTCGGCTTAAATTCGGCTTGAAAAAAATTTGATCCAAAATTTTGGCTCGTTGCTCGGCTCGTTTATTTCAATCCGATCTTGATCCGAGCCAAAATTCAAATCAATTTTTGAGGGATTAATGATCTTTGGGCTAAATTTGCTAAATTCACAGCCCTATGTTGTAAACGATCAGATTTCGAGCCGAGCTGTCAGCTCAAAATCGCCTCGAAAAAAATTCAATCCAAAATTTTGGCTCGCAGCTTGGCAAATTTGAATAAATCTTCGAGCGATTAATGATCTTTGAGCCAGATTCACAGCCCTAATATCAAGGTTTACAAAATTTGGATTTGCAGAATTCACAAAATCCTACTTATTCACACAGCCCATTAGTTCGCCTAGCCAGAGAGAGAACCAAAAAATCAACTAGCCAAAGACCTCATCCTAATGGCAAAATAACCCCCTCTCAAATTCCGCCAAAAAAGAGGTAAAAATTGTTTCCTCCTAGTTTGCTATAATGCCGGAATACCGAAAACCCTCGAAACATCGTTTTCTACCTACCGATCGCATAAGCGAAAACGGGCGAAAACATGGAATTCTCCCAATCGAGAAGCTCGAAAAGGTGAAAGCAATGAGCTTGCACAGAGAAGATTGTTGCCGAATGTTGAACAGAACAAATTATATTCCTCGTCAACCTTCGAGAATGCACTAAATAGTATGATGGAAAGATACGAAGATGAGAAAGACAGGAAACTGACCTGGTGGCAGAGGAGACAGAGGAGGCGGCGCGTGGCAGACGTGGCAGAGGAGGCGGCGAGCGGATGGCCGATGAGAGAGGAAGAAGTGTCGGGTCTGCGGGAGAAACTCCGGTGACGGATCTGGGGGCGGATTTTGGTTAAAAAGTAATAATAATAATAAAACTTTTATGCACTCTTTTTTTCTTAGAAATAAAAAAAATAAAATAAATTATTATTACACATTTAGGTATTTGTGAGATAGAAAAAAAAAATCATTTTATGGTTGAATAAAAGCCTTACAAAAACATAAATAATTAAATATTAAATTTGATTTGATTGAAATAAGTCAAATATTTAATGGTATAGAAACAAATAAGTAAATAAAAATTAGATTTATGTATTATCCATGGTGAAAGTAGCAACCCTAAGGGTTCTAATTTGTTACAAGTGATGTTGATTGATCATCTTAATCATTTTCTTCTTTTTTTTTTCCTGAAGTGGTAATCATTTGATCGGCATTAGAAGCAAGTTGATGTCAGAATCAAATATATGCCCTGATAGGCAATATAGTTAGTCATGCTCCCTATTACAGAGAAGACAGAAGTCAAGTGACAAATGTTTAATAGTTCACGAACATTGAACATTAGCAATATTAGAGAACGGCCAATTTAAAACTTAGACATAATGTTACTACAAATGCTATATACTATATTATACCTTTTGTAGCATGAGTAAAGCACTAATTGTCATTCAACGCTTAATGTTCTTAATCTAATGTCATACGATTCCTACCAATAGTCAACAAATGTTTACCACTAACATTTGATGACCATCTTCTTCATTATTGGTTAACCATCTTATAAGAAGAATGATCGAGCATACTGTTAATTATCACTAGATGTTTTTAGTTGACTTCAAATGATGCCTTTTAATAAAATGTATATCTGATGTTAGTGGTGAACATTAAATGTTAAATGACGTTAATATTGACATTAGATGACGATAAACTAGGAACATCAATTGTCTATTGGCTTTT